AAAGAAAGGAAAAAAATATATGGTACCCCCAACAACTTTAGCCTCAAGGATTATAGAAAATGTGTTGACTGTAAATAAAAACTCTGTTAACTTTGGATACGTATACTTGTGAAAGTGCAATTTGTTGTTTAAATTTGAAAAAAATGCACTCGCCAATATCTTGCCTTACTTCTGCAGTTGTCAATCATGATATACAACCTTTAATTTCAGTGCAGCATTTGCATTCTCTAGCATTGGCAAGTCTGTCTATAGCACAGTTTCCACATTTGCATCTAAAGAAAAAGGCATAATCCTTATAGATCTGAGACAGTTATCCGTAACTATTTAACATAAACATTTATATCACTATATCTCTAGGTATTCACTTTTGGAGTATGTAAATCACGTACAAAAGGGGAATATGACTCAATCAAAGACCAAAACGTTTTAATTTCCAGGGGGCTTCTTCAGCCAGTTTGTTATTTGAGGTTATAGTTTTCGACATATACTTTGATGTTGGTATAAATTGTTTAATTTTGCACCTCTTAATTTGGTATTTAAGTATTTAAGGCTCGAATGTACATTATATGAAAAATAAGCCCTAAGATGCCAACGACTCATATATTCAACTTAACTAGATTCCTAGTACATTAATATGACCTGGAAAAACACTCTTGCCCACATTGGAAATACATCGTCATTACTTTTGTCTTTGTCTGTGTCTGTCTCTAGGAGGTAGAAAGTCATTGACTAACAACTCACCAAGAGTCCACTTCTTCTTCTAGGTAGCCTTTAAAACGTCTCAATAAGATACCTTCTTCTTCTAGACTTTCCTGAATAGCCTTTTCATAATTTCGAACGTACTCTTGGTCCGCAACGGGATCGTATTCGAGTAGGCCATTATCATCGTCCCTACTTGAATCAACATCGGCAGCCATGGCGGCATCTATTTTCTCTTCAGATTCATAATCATAACTACCATTCGCCTTAGACACTTTTGGAAGAAGACATAGTAAATTTTTGGGAAGATTGAACAAAGTATGCACAGACACGGTCTTCTTCAAGATACGATTCCAATACAGGTTCCCGGTATGATGTAGCTAAGGCTCATTCCCAGTCCACCCTTAAAACGCGGTACTGCATGGCGAGGGGTGTGAAATAAAACTTCTATATTTCTGAACTCCTTTGCAATTAAACTACGGAAAATGGTTTTCTAACCTTCTATGTTCATTTGTCTTTTGTTTTTCATAAACTCCCTCCAGGGTGAAGGGGCACTTTAAATGAGATGGCAGAAGTGGAAATGATATACCATCTGCATTATCGTATAAATACGTAATGGGCCTGGCATAGATGACTCATTCCATTTCCTTTAAGATTATACTGCAACTTTTAATATATTTTAATCTTTAAACTTTACCTCCTTACTTGAAAAGTTTTTTCTAATCTGGGAGAGTTTATGAATCGTTTGATTTCTTTTGAGGCAGACTTAAAATTATTTGCGTTATTTCTAAAGATAAGCACCAGTAAGCCCCTATGGACACAAAAACAATGGAAAGCTTGAAGGAATTACTCTACGTCGAGCTTAATACCTACAATTAGAGGGCCTGTGAAATCTAGACCGATGTTTGTAAACGGTGGTTGGTCATCTACCCTCAATTTTGGCAGATATGTAGAAAATAGAGTTTGAAATGGTAGGCCTTCGAGTCTTTTGCAGACAATACACTTTCTGACCACACCCTTTGCCCATTCTCTTGCTCTAAGTATCCAGTACTTTTAGTCTGGGCTCTTAGCACAGTATTTGACTTGCATTGTGCAAATTGTGATACCAGCATGAAAATGGGTACACTGGGGTAATTTTACACGTTGATGATGATGCCGAAGAGACCCAAGCCGCAAAATGCCCCCAAGTGCTATTTTTAGACTGGGGTACTTGGCCCCAGTCCTCGAAATGGGCCAATTTCCATATGTCATTACTGATTTATGAAAAAAAGTGGGAAAGGAAAGATTTAGGTGCATTATCATATATTAAGATATATTAAGAGAAAAGGAAATGAAAAATTGCTCCTTTATGCTATTTTTAGAATATGAAATTGGTACCCATGTCTCTATTTAGGCATTCTTCTCTCAATAATTACTCTCTTTTATATGAATATGAAATGTAGCTTTCTCCATTCTTTCAACAAACTTAAAAGTAATACGAACAGATGTAATTGACAATCTTACCACTTGATGCTATTTTTAGAATGGGAAACTGGAACCCAGTTCTCGAATTTGGGTTTTACCTTCATAGTCTATGCTCGAAGCACAGTATTTGACATGAATTGTGCAAATTGTGGTACCAGCATGAAAATGGGTACACTGGGGCAATTTCGTGTTCTAACAGCCCAGACTATTTTTCTAGCCAGATTCAAGGTTTCCAAATACCATTATGTAGTACCCTACCATGGCAAGATTCAACAATTAACCTTGAGTAGCTATGCTTATTTGGCAGCAAGATTGGTTTCTGACCACTCTTCAACTGTTGAGTTTTTGATATGTGAGCTGCATCTCAAGATACCCTTGTCGTTGAGAAATAAGTTAAATTGAATGACATAAATGGGAGGCTCTGTGACCTTCCTTGATCTTAAATATTCAATTTCTTAAAAGCATCACTTTCATTTTAATGTATAAGGATCACTACTGAATTTGAAAGTTCAGGCGCAGTTAGTTGGTTTTCCTTATGTACCTTATGATGAGGTAAGGTTGCTTTTTCATTATTGATAAACTTCTGTAGCTATGCAAATACTCTTAAAGGCAGTATGCCGTTCATTAGTTGAACGAGACAAAGGAAAAGTCTCTGATGCAAATAAGAATTGAAGTCTCGTACTATAGACAAAATGGCGAAGTGATTTCCTGTTCCGGAAGACGTTGAAAGCGCAAGTGATCACAGAAGCCCAGAGCTTTTTATATTTAATCGTATTCGTTGGGATAGGCCTGAAATTCATCTAGAGTTTCAAATATCTAGAAACGAGTCGATGATCTCTGGCAAGTTGACCTAGGATGCAATTCAACTGGAGACGGGTTTAGGCCTAGTAGTGCAATTAGTGTCGACTAGATTCTGCAAGGGGCAACCTGAAGCACCTCCCATTACAATCACTTGTGACTGTTGAAGTACTTGTCAAAGAAAGGATTGCCCATGCAGAAATGCTAGAAAACATTGTCAAGTTGGTCTGTGCACATGCGGAATCAAAAAGAAGACAAAAACAAAACAAGTTGACAAGAAGCAACAGAATTTGTTTTTCTTAAATCCAGTTGATATAAATCACTCTCAAAGTTCCCTTTCACTTCATTTACATCTATGTTCGTCTATGCTCTCGGTTTGAAAAACTGATCATGGAATCTGAAAAGTATGACTTTGGTGTTTATTTGGAGGAAGACTGCAACAAATTTCATCAAGTTCGTAAGCCTGAAATCAAGCTTTTTAGCAGTATTGAAATCAAAGGCACGAGATGTATTGCTGTGGAGATCAGGATTAAGAGATAACATCATCGATAGCATTTGCTTCCATCATGAGACAAAGTTTGGTTCAGTCTTCGAAAAAAGATTCAACAAATGCTGTGATCCATTAAAACTACACAAGCAGCAAGTAAAAGGTGGGCACAAAATCTCAACAGAAATTGCAAAAGATTTTATGGAAAAGGGAATACTATGTGCTCCAGGCTGGCAATTATGTAGAAACAGCTACCAAAAACAGTTCCACTTTTTAAAAGAAAATGTAAAAGACTCAGACAATGAAATGAATTTCTCTGAAATTGAAAAGCTCTATTCAAAATCAATGAGAGTTTTGAAGCCATTGGTGAATCTCCAATCAAAACTCATGGTATGCCAAAACACAGGAGCTTAACATATGCCAACCAAAAACTCGACAAAGTAGCAAAATCAGTTCAGCATCATGTTGCAACTGCCATATCAGCTAATTAAATTTCACTACCAGTTGGCAATGTTTCTGCAGAAATCGTACAAAAAGCCCAAGATTTAGACCATTTAATGGAAGAAGTAAAAAACCAAATGGCAGTGTCTTCATTTCAAAGGAAGATACAGCTTTTGACACTGACTCCTAAATCATGGTCTATAAACTATGCAGCTTCGTCTTAAACTATGTCTCATGAGATGTTTTAAAAAAGCACTGAAACTCAAGGATGAAGAAGGAATTTGCTCAATGCCATCTGCTAAACTTAGCAAATTGCTGCCAGTTACTGTTACAAACCAAGTAAAATGATTTTATGAAGACGATCAATTTTCAAGACTTCTTCCAGGGAAAAAAGACCATGTCAGTATTGCAAAAAATATGCACATGCAAAAACGTCTGCTGTTGTGTAATTTGAAAGATTTATATGAACTATACAAAAGCAATATCCTGAGTGCAAAGTGGGTTTCTCAAAATTCTGCTCCTTGCGGTCAAAATGGTGTCAATGTAAAATGCTCAAGTGGTACTCATGCCATCTGTGTATGTGCCATCCATCAGAATACCATTCTTTTTGCTGATGCTACAAAAACTGGACTGACATACAAGGATCTAATAAACATGGTTGTTTGCGATAGTGACAAAAGAATGTGTATGTTACACCGTTGCCCTGCATGTCCTGGGAGTGAGTTTCTCAAGACTTTTCTGGAAAGTCACTTTTCGGATTTTGACGATGCAACTTTTCAGCAGTGGCAAAGTACCAATAAAATTGACTTAATAAAACAATCACTAGATGCAGAAGATTTTATGGAGTTAATTATTGCATCGATTGGCAATTTGACCTCACACTCCTTTATTGCCAGACGCCAGGGAAATTAACCTACATCACTTCTGCCTTTTGAGAAAAAATTTTGAATAATTCCAGGCATCTCTAATCCGCTCGTTGCAATACATTTCAATTATAAAAA